CGTGCGTGTCGAGTGCGCGAAATGCAGGCGAGAGTGCGATTCGCCGGGTGTCCGCGCAACCCTCTGCGGAGATCGTGCATGTCGAGTGCGCGAAATACAGGCGAGAGTGCGATTCTCGCCATGCTGCCTTGTCTCACAAAAAAGGGGTCGGCGGCACCAGGGCGGAGCCCTTACAATAACTTAACAACCTAGTAGTAGGCTAATATCATTGAATATCATTGATAAGGAATCGGGGGAAACTGGCTTGTTTACTCAAATGCCAAAATTAATGAATAAGGTGACCGCTACTGGTACCGCTATAACTCTATGCAGCTCGATGGTCGCTGAGAACTGCTTGGAAGTGACTTTATTGACCTTCCCACATCTTTCACATAGTCAAAATCCCCATTATTCTTCAAACAAGCTGGACATTTCCAAGGAATAACAGTATAACCATGCCAAAAAGAAGTTCCGCATCTGACAACCTCCTGCTGAACACCATTTGCCCTGAGAACAAAGACTTTGGGTGACCAATGCACTAGCTGAATCTCGTGCCGATAAAGCTTGAGAACCAGATCATCTTCGAAGGTTAGACATGTTGGAATTGCACTGGCATGAACCACCGAAAACCTGGTTCCCTCCAATATGTGAAAGCTAGCAGCTAGACTCTTGATGACTCTTATACGTCGACCCCCTACAGACAAATGCTCGACCTCCATTCCAATGGGGGTGTGAACTTAATCAGAGTCGACCATACAAGAGAACAATAGACAGGTTTGCTTCAAAAGGGGGGGAGGCCGGGCTCAAGAACTGCAGTTCCTGGATCTCCGCCTTTCATATCCCAAAACCGTCTGGGGGAGCACGGAGATCGCCACGGAGAGCGCCCAAAACTTGAGCGTTTTCACATGGTTACATCGGAGGTGTTCCCTGCTTCCAAGTCCCAGACGCTCCATGGGACTGCCATAGGACTGCCGATCAGTTCGGGGTGGTGGTTTGCGGGGTCAATTGATCGGCATATGTTCCAGTCCCATGGAGTGTATATGGGAGTCTTGTATGCTTCAAGGACATGCTTCCGGGAGTTCTTCTTGGTCCAAGAGGCTTCCGGCCTCCATAAGAGGCCCGGGGCGTTTGGGACACCGTTCGATGCCCACCCGCATCATCTGAAAACCCCTCTGCCGCCGGAGAAGGTCGGGGATGCCTCCTTGAAGGTCTTGGCACCCATCTCCCAGACGCTTAAGCCTGACACGCCGATGGACGATGACATGGTGGGGCGGGTAGGTTCGGGTAAGTCAATCCCGCGATCACCACGGCCTCATGCAAGTGACACACAATCACAAACCTCTGGCTGAAGTGAGTGGCCTATCACGTCCAAGAGGGATCTCCATGCCCTTGCTTCACCCATGGGCTGCCCAAGGGTTTGAGGTTAGCCTCCAGACTGAAGGTGCTAGCGAACATCTTCATGACACATCGTACTGGAAGAAAGACCTGCTGAAATCCACGCACTTCCTGCCCGAACGCTTCGTGGAGTTCTGAACTCTCTCTGTTCAGCATCTTCCAGCTCCATCTTCCCCCCCCCAGTCCAGTCGGAAGCTTGGCCCATGGACTGGGGTGGTCTTGAGATGCTTGCTTCATATACCCATGGACGTGCGTGGATAGGCAACACCTCGGCGCCAAGTCGCTCGCGTCGGCACCTGCCGCGACCAGGGTGGTCGCGGAGTGGAGCCCAATCACCTCGGTAGAACGAAACGGAGGTCGGGGGAGACTGAGTCAGACTGACTTGGAGACTTGGGAAGTCCAAGATTCACAATTTTTAAATGTATATTTATATATACTTCAATACTTCCAGCTGGTAGTTGGAGACCCCTGGAGACAAAGAGTCTCAAGGAGCAGGGAATCAAAAGAAAAAGGTTTCATCCGAAAAGCCCCCCCGGGGCTGGTCCAATCGCATGAACTTCCAGGCCTCCAGCTTCCACGAACCATTTTGTGTTTCTTTTTGGGGGGTTGTTCGTTGATCGGCCACCAAATGTTACCACCCAAGAGCAGAAGTTCATGGCATGTCGGTTTTGTTGAGTCGTTGAGGATGATGGAACTCCTATGATGGTATACTCATGCCATTCTATGTCTTGGCAATAGTATGCAATAGAACGGCGTCGGAAAAAAAAAAAAAAAAACATGAAAAACCGCCCTAAGAATCCAAACACATGTTTCTGTTCCCAAGCAAGTTACACCAAATATCCCAAATACTACTCCTGCTGTTTCTGATGCGGCCAAGCACGTTGACGCCGCTTTCCAAGGCTTGGTCAAAAGCAGCGATTTGCACCAAACGCTTCTCCTTCGAGGGTTCTGAAAGCGCGT